TAAATTTGCCACGGATATTCTTAAAAATAATTACTACTCCTGTTAATAAGATCAATCTTTTGAAAATATAAAAATACAATATATGAAGAAAGTATCGAAATCACGAACCACAAAATCGATTTAAAAATGATTGAGCTAATTCGCGAATACTGAGATTTTATTTCCTTGCACTTTGTTTTGAAAATTCTGTAAAGGAAATCATAGTCACGATGTTATTGAAGACCTGCATTCATATGAATGATCCAATATATACCAATCATTCCTTTAAAAAGGATACTTGTTGCATTATACAATGAAAAGAAGTGATAAAAATCTACTTTTATTTTACTAAGGCACATTTTTATTATCATTCTGATATAATTTTTGACTTTAAAGGAACGTTTCATGTATAGAAGAAATGATGAAAAAAATCATAAAAACAAATCTTAAAACAAAGTTTATATGCTAGACCTTTATAAAACAAGACACTAAACACCACTAAATCTCTGAGCAGAAGCACTGTAGAGGATAATGCATATATAAATAACAAGAAATAAGCCTGCAACAATTAATAGCCCTACGATACTGAAAATTAGGGATGATGACGCGTTCTTTATCTGCACTTGATCCATTTTCTCTATGCATTTCTTACCATCGCTTGTTTCTTGTGAGGCATCTGTAAGTACACCATTAAACTTTATATTCTCTTTAAAATCAATTCGTGAACATTTTAACTTGTTGATAATGTTTAAAAATCATAAATTGTTTTATCCATGTACATTAGTTTTATCATATAACAAAACTTTGATAATGTATTTTCATGAGCAATTATGGACAATTCTAAATCAAAAATGCAAACATGGCTAAAAAAAATACCGTCTACGTTTGTCATCAAACTAGAATATGTAGAAACTCGTTCAAATGAGTGTGAGGTTTTGGTTGGAACCAAAAAACGTGTATATGCTCCAGAGGAGGTACGATGAGTAGACAATAATTCTTAATAAAATAAAAATAGAGCAAATTATGCTATTTTTCCCTTAAAAGTAAAACAAAGAATTTTTTTTTAAATGTTGACTTTATAACTAAATCAAGAAATGTTATAAACATTACAACAAAGTCATGTTTTACGCATATTAAAAGAACAATAAAGTTTTTTTTATGTTAATTTATCTTCTTTCAACCTTTAAGACATTGACAGTTTTAGATGTACATTCTCGAGTTTTTGCAGTCAGGTTGTTCGATCTATTGCTTCCTTGACACACTCCCTTGCATGGACATCTGTCTCTGGTATACATACGTCGTTCTTAACAAGAATAAGGGATTTCCAGCAGCTAATAAATGTAAATGTCATAAGCAAAATTAACATTTACATCGTCTTGTTGGATTACAATTTTCTTCTTCTCATTTGCATTGAAGTTGGCATTCTTTTCCATAGTTAGGGTATCGGCAAACAATTCGCAGTTATCACCAAACCTTCCATCTTCACACTCAGCTATAAACAAAAGTACTTTTTTCCCCTGTTTGCGGTGCAACATGCATAAACCGTTTAACATAAAGTACCTGATGCTTTTTTGCAGCCATAAACATGATGACAACTTTCATTAGGACAGTGACACAACGACTGACATCTGACGCCAAATACTGGAAGAGGGCATTTAAACATACAGATTTGGCCATAAAAACCACTCTTGCAAGCTTTAAAGAAAATTAGAACTTTTTAAGTCTACTGTATTAGGACTAGAAACTTTAAAGAATTTCACGCTTTTGTTGATATTTAGGTTATGAATATTAATTTATGTTATGCATTAAGGTTACTAATATAATATATGTTATATTTGTTGTTCACATTTAATGATTTTTGTTTTAAAAAACAATGCAAGCAACAAATCAAGACAACTCAGTGCAGTTATGGACTGTCTCATTCAGAACGGTTCCAAAAAATCCGCTACAGCATTCGAAACCATTGCGCCTATATAAGTAGAGTGTTATTTTATCTAAAATAAAATGTAAATAAAGACAAATTTGTCGTATTGAATAAGCAGCACTATAATGTTGAATGATGGAGAAAAATATTCATACCCTATGCAAAGCAGTGCTATAGACTTCTCCAACGTGTAACCAATTATCAATGTACAAAATAAAATCCAGATACACATAGTATTTACTATGTAAAAATACAGTGTTTTACCATGTGATAAGATTGAAATGAATCAAGTTTCCTGTCGACAATTACATTCATTTAATTCTGCTTATTATATATTTTCCTGTATTCCTATTTATCAAAATGGAATTGTGTTAGATATGTTAATACATGAAAGTAAAATGATTGAATCACGTACACACTGAAAATTGAATTTACTAGGAAGCTGATTTATTATGAAAAATAGTTAAAACAAACACAAGAAAATGAGGTAAAAGAATTGATTTATGCTGGTGCATTTTCAATGTAAACTTTGTGAACTGTTAATTCATAAGATTCATTATAATAATAAAAAACGACCATGTGAAATAAAATGAGAAATTCTTAAAAATTAATAATACATACGGATGCAGTCATTCGGTGTATCATTTTAAAGATATCCAAAACAAAATTGAGTTTGCAAAAAATGTTTTACCCTACCAACAAAATTTTCACATGTGCATTTATGACGAAAAAAAATTGCTTTAGAAAAATGCTTTTTAATCCTTTATAGAAAAAAATAACTTAAATAATACAAATATAGAAGGTGAATATCTAAGATATTGGAAAAACATTTCTTACCCATCACATATTTGAAGATGATACATGTAACTGCCTAGTAAGTAATGTATAAAATAAATACTGGAATGGGTACTCTCTAACCCAATTGTTCTGTTTTATGGATACCATGTTTTCATTAACATTCCCCTTTTAAGCAAAAGTTATCAATTGCAATTAACTGTCATTGGAATGAAACAATAAATGAAATCATTTTCTATTTCTGTTTTTTATAAATGTATTTAATCTGGTTATGGCAAGCAATAAGCAAACCAATACAAATTCATCAAAATAAAAATGTATAAAAAGGGAGGATTTTTTCACTTGCACACGGAGTTTCTTTATCTAAATTGATTCGATACGCAAGAGCATGGTCTACGTATAAACAATTTCCAAAATGAGGTTAATTATTGAAAATCAAAATAATGAAAGAAGAATATCACAAATTTCGTTTTAAGCCATCATTGCGGGAGTTCTATGGTCGATACAATAACCATGTCAAATGCTTACTGATGTTTCTAGTCTATTAATTATACACTGAATTGTCGACGACTTTTTCTGTTTTTTCTCGATCATGACAAGGGGTTTAATGGGTTGGCAGCTCTGGATGCTCACTACTCCATGACACCTGATACCACTTCTAATGTGTTGGAGATTTGTGTTTGCTCTGCTCCTATTTTCTATTGTTTTACTCACTTTTGATGTTGAATACTGGTCGTTATCTCCATCCGTACATACATGTACAATTGAATGAAATTTCATGAGACTAGTACTTTCACAGACTCTGTTACATTGTGCCATATGCATTGTGCACCTCCTATTTTACTTTTTAGTCGGACACATATTTTGAGTTCCCCATTGCAAAACATGAACACCTCCATTCGTTCTCGAAAATTCATGGGTACCAATCCGTTACTGTATTTACTATAATAAGTTCAAAATTTTCATTTGATTTCAGTTTAAATTTTCAAATTTAATAACGTTTGCCTCCTCGATAACAAAACCAAAGTATTATGAGGAAACATATTAGGAAGACTGTACATACAATTTATTTTATTCATATATCTGACAATTCATTCTATCCACACTTCTGTCAATTAATTCTTTTCACATATCTGACAATTTATGCTATTCACATACATGTATCTGAAAATTTTTGCTATTCACATATCTATTTTAATATCTAACAATTTATTCTATTCACATATCTGGCAATTTATTCTATTCACATGTTTGACAATTAATTCTATTTGCATATATCTAACACTTTATTATATTCACATATCTGACGTTTTATGTTGTTCAAATATCCTTATCATATTAAGTTAAAAAATTAAGATAAAAAAAATCTGATGAAAAAAGACAATTTCTGTCCTGTATTTTAAAAATGTAGGAATATAAAGACGGAAATAGTCAACCCACATCATCACATTTACGGCGTTGTATTTTTTATTTGTCTTGTAATGCATCTAAAATTTATTGTAAACATTGTTCTAGCTTTCTTTTGCCGTTTTTTTTCAGTTATCCTATTCTGGACTTCTCATTCGAATGCCCTTTTTGTAGCTCTCCACTGCCTTAATTTATTCACATGAGTTTAAGTTTCTGCTCTTCTGAAAACCGATTTCCGGACGCATATTAACGGGCTCTGAATGACCAATTCTCTACTTGCAAATTTTGTAACCGCAAAAGTTAAAGTCTTTTATAGTATAAGAACAGACACTGACTTCTGAGGTAAGTTACGTGTTTAATTTAAATTTTCTTCTCTGTTTTGTCAATTTTACGGACCTGGGATAACTTTCAATTGTTATTTCAACATATTTTAATTTCCTTTAAATGTTCGTTCGTTTGCATAGTTTGTATGTTCTATAAATAATAATATTATACTTTCATGTAAATTAAATGCATCTGATTGGTTGAAAAAAACATTTGTTAAAAAACACTATCACCCGCTGAATAATGAAGCCACATCCTCCAGCGTAGCAACAGTCGACAGTGCTTGACGACGGGTGATATTTCAAAAGAAAAAAGCGACTGCGCAGAATTAATGCGCCCACGGTACTATGATATATGTATTTGTATAATATTCAGTATGATATAATAAATATTGAATGTAGTTAAGTGTAACATTGAAAATTTTCACCCTTCGATAACCATTGTCAACCTCATCTGCGCCTTGATTGACAATGGTTTTCTTGGGGTGAAAACTTCAAATTTTACACTCAACTACATGCAATATTTCTATATTGTGTCTGTAAGTAGTGTTAATCAATTAATTGTATCGGCACCAGTATTCCAGTACTTAGTTTCATTATAATATTCAACAGTAAAGTAACTATGTAAGTAAAGTAACTGTGTATAAGTGTAAGTTATATTTAAAATAATTTACTTGTCCATGTAAGTATTGTGTAAAAGCATTTGAAAATACAAGGTCTGTAATGCTGCACTCCGATGTTCACTCCATTATTATACCATTATCATGCATAGTGGGTTATGTGGGTCATAACTTGTATGTAAAATTTTCTTCTGTATTAATATGTAACTTAATGTGTTTACTGTTCTTGTGTTAAGTAGGTCCCGATCCACGTTAAAAGTCCTACGTATGCGTCCCTTGTTCTGTATTGTATGGTGTATGGTGTAAGGGAATGGTGCAAAGTGGAGCCAGAATATATTGTGTTCATTTGTTAAAATCTAGATAAATGTTACAACGTTTTTGACATTTTTCTTACAATATTGATATAAACCCGCAACACACATACGGAATACAGATAATCGCTAAATTATTCATCTAAACCTGGAATATTTTTACACGGTTTACAAGTTATTGTTCCAGATTATAATCCGTTCTTTCTACCTTTAAATGTAAAATTTGAATGTTTTCAAATATTTAAAAAGTGTTTATTTTTCAATATCTGAGCCCTGCGTACTGCAGTAGACTGTAAAGCTAAAAAAGATATGCATTATATCACTGTTGTTACTTCACTTCGAACATTAGGTCTCTTCAAAAAAGTAAGCATATACAATATTACTAAGATGACAGCTACGACTCCAAGACTGATTATACCATACACCAAGGAATTCAATTCTTTCTCAGTACCTGTGGCTGTGTAAGAGTTACGATTCATCAGTGTATTGATTCTACGTATGTTATTCAGGTTGATTGAATCTGTGACTAAATCAAAAGAAAAAAAAAGGATTAAGGAAGGAAAAAGATGTTTCCGATCGCGAAGACGTATCATTGACATGCAACTATTAAACCTTTCTAGCATTTTTTTAAAATAAAAAATAAAAGATTCTTTTAACAGTAAAACACAATCCATCTTTTAACTCAGAAACATATTACATATATTTACAACGTACATGCACTAGTCAAAGTATAAGCAGAAATGTTTTTTAACAATATTTGTTTGAAATATTAGAGAATAATTTACTAATACTTTAAAGAATGATTTGACAAATAATCAAAAAACAAAATGATGATTTGCTCAGGGAGGTCATATTCTGTATCCTTTAGCAATTGCAAAATTAAGTAAAATCAAGAATGGAGCCACTCGCTAATATATAATTATTGACGCTTGAGAAGGGAGATATCACAAATTATCAGGTCTGAGAACGGTTGACACCCTCGGGCGCTTGCGTTTGACATTGACAACCTTACTAAGACCTGACAATTGGTGACGTCTCCCTTCTAAACAGTCCATAATAGTTTTATTATCCTGTAAAATCTAAATCATCAATAGAATAGAAAATAGTTATCAAACCTTTTGTTTTCACTTACTCTGCTCTGATTCCATAATTCCAAAATATGTTAACATACAACATTGACGTCATCTTTAGAATTAATTGTTTACTGATTCCGCATATTTAATTATTTTGCATGTATAATAATATAATTATATGAGTTATTTCCCATAAACCACTGCACTTGCATTCACAGCGTGACAACACATTTTTAACCCAACATGCTCGCTAAAGCTATTTCATTGTCATCTGAAGGATGGCAACAGTTGTCACCCTGCATTTGAGATAGACATCACGAATTGTCTCACCTCAAAGTTAATTCTGAAGGATAAATTAATAATAATTATTTTTTCCATGTCAAATTCAAACATTTAATAACTAAAATTCAGTGGCAAATCGGTGTTAGTTTAAAATATCAAAATATGAAAAAGAATGACTAATGAGAGTCTCATTTGCCTTCAAATTGCTCGTGTTCCCTACATCCGGTCACGTGATGACAACTCTCATATCTACAACTGCAGCGCCCCACACACTTACGACCAAACGATGGGTATGGACAGGGGGTCGAACAATTCAAACCATAGAATCCATCCCTGCACTCTAAAAAACAATTTGTATGCAAGGAGCAGTACAAACACACCATAATTAAATGCAATAAAATAGAAAGAACTGCGAACAGTACTATTGTTCTCCCGCGTACCTTCGTCAGTTTTCAAAAGTTAAGATATTCGTATGATTTTTAGCACTTATATTGATATTTATATGGATTCTCACACAACAATATTTATTTGGGAGAATAATGAGAGATAACTCTACACTTTTGGTAAAACTGGTGCTTTTCACTTTGAAAATCAACGGAAAAAGGATTTTTTTTTTTTAAATATTTCTAAAACCATTTTTTCCCAGTAAAACAAATTCCATTTTACTGGTAACATGGACTGTCATTTCACAAATTAGGGATATTTTACTATTTAGCACTGGTATTAAAATAATTAATCAATTACAATTGAACTGTTTTTTGTTTTAAACAATTTTTAAATGGTTTAGAAATCATCCCTGCAAACGATGTTTACTAGTTCCTCAGTAAACGATGTTTACTGAGGAACATCAATATTATGAATTCATAAAATGTAGACGCATATCTAGAGTAAACGTGCATAGTCCTTCATTAATATTGAGAATACATACGAATGCATTTATTTAAGGTATCATTCCACAGAAACCCGAAACAACAGATGCCAGCTCCTGATGGTCTGAAATAAAAAAAAAAAAAACAATTTTACGCCATATAACCAATAACCATCTGTGTAAGTAAGTATAATGGAAAGGCTTGGGAAACTTTTTTTAATATTCAGGACAGACTTCATGTGAGGGAAAAAAGTTCATATGACGTTTATTTTGATTTAGCATTCAGAGTCATTTTATATTTTGTAAAGTGGTAGAAAATGCATATGTTTATAAGAGGGATTGTGAAAGGGAGAACATCATATTCTATCAATGTTCTAGAAATCTGATATTAGTGTTCTTTACAAACAAAATATGACTCAAAATATACCCATGCTTCTTTTTTGTAATAACGGCCCTAGACTCGTCTATTTTATACATTTTCAGTAATCTTTATTATATCTAAAGTAATAGAAATTGTGTTACTCACCCATCGCATCTTTGTGAAGTTGATCCAAGCCACTCTAAAGTTCAAATGCATACATATGTGGTATTTCATTATTAAATAAACAAACAGAGAGCAAATATCTTCATACCTGCATGCAGTTTCTCAAAGGTCATAGGTCATTATTTGACCGAATCACCAGGCGCAATAGTACATAACTTGTATAATACTTGCTCTCCTCGACAATTCAATACATTGAAGAATGTTTTTTTTTTTCGTGTTTAGATTGTACAAAATACGAAAGTTAAATAATAATTGTTTTATTTATGATGTAAACAGCATTTTGTACACTTCTTTGGTGATCGATTTTACATAATTCACAATACATGGCAGTAGTTTCATGTCAGCTAAACAGTTTTAACATTTACCTTTTTTTCTTTTCGACCTTTCGTTTAATGCTCATTAAAAATTCTGAATACTATTGTATAATTTTTCATCATTGAACTTCACTCCGGACAAATTTGCTTATCTACTTCAAAATATTATTTATATATTCATAACTACTGGCTGTAAGGACAATAATAAGTCTATATCCCTCAAGACTGCAGCTATTTTCCGGGGCACATCGGAGTGGAATAGTTCCAATCGATGGTGGTGATAAATTGCTGTTATCCTCATAGCCTGTAATTAAGTGTTGAAGTATACCGCAGCTGACTTAATTTGTGTTACGTCACAATCTATACCTCACTGTATGCCGCTAAAGGGCTTCAAATTAGGCTCAGGGCCATACAGCAGTGATGGTTCTTTATCGTGCAAACGCCTACCGTGTCACGGGACTTATATATTAAAACTCTTATAAGAAAGACCCGTGACTTTCACGTTGTTATAAAACATATTTTTTTTATTTCTGCGATGGACATTTGGAAAGATGATTAAGCAGGACAGTGGCTGATTTTGCAAATCCATGTCTTTTTTTATGAAAAGGTGAAATACTTTCGATACAATGACCTTGTCAGCAAATACAATTAACGTTGAGTTAAATGCTGATTGACGTTTTCATACTAATTGTTAGTCAATTATTTATACACTGAATTGACGACACTTTTTCCGGTATTTCCCGATCATGACAAGGAGCACTTGACGAGTGTGTTCAGCAGGGGATGCTTACTCCTTTATGGCACTTGATCCCACCTCTGATGTTTCGGAGGTCCATGTTTCCTCTGCTCCTATTTTGTATTGTTTTATGGACTCTGATGTTGAATTCTGTTCGTTATCTCCATATCCTTCTTTCTGTGGGTTTTATTTCATATCAAATTTTTGTAATTTCAGGAGTATAAAGAATATATGATTAATCATATGCAGTTTTGCATAATTATAAAACAATGCAATGAAAAAATGGAGAAATAATCTCTCGTAAAATCTAGATTCAAAATAATAATAACAATCAAAATTTACCCTGTCTTATAGATACATTAAATGTGCGATTTAAGCAAAAAATATTTTTGTGATTTAGAAGAGAAAACATTGTCTTACCATTTGATGAATTAAGGCTCGTTGAGTCTGGCAGTTGATATTCTTCATTCTCTAATAAATGTTTTATAGAAGAAGAATAACATTAATTATGAATAGGAAAACGCATTAAAATATTATGAAATGTAATATTTCATTTTTTTCTATACAATAGGCTGCATACATGTTATTGTCTGAAATAAGGTAAAATTTACTTTAATGTCATTCTATACACAACCAATTTGCTTGATGAGGTCTATATTCTAACACTTGTGATTATTTTCGTACGTCTTAAATATTCTTCATTTCTTACTTTACCCATTGCGGTGTACTTAAAAAAGAGAGAAATCATCTCTCGTGAGTCTTAATTCAAATAGTAACAATTATTTAAAAACTAGAAAATCTGCCATTACAAGCAATAGCGTATGTCGCCTCGAACCGGAAATTAGAAATACCTCTGTGTTTCGTTCTGTTTTATTCAAAGAAGCTTTAATACATGGCTCGTTGTGAGGAGATACCAGTTTTGACAGACAGAATTGTCGATTAGCAAACGTTTTGAATTTCTCAAAAATCTTTTTGTTTGTTTTATTTCTGATTGAGTGAACATGAAATATATCCGAACGCAGATGTTTAAACATGTGTAACTACATGTAAAACTTATCAAGGCCACGGAATATCCTTATATATGAGCATTGGGGAAACTTAGATTTTTCATTTAACAGAATATAACTGTGAGACAAGAAGTAATTTTTTTTTATCTTTGCTCATCTGTACAAATGTTTGCCGATTAACTAATGCTTCAAAGGCAAACAAACTTTAGAGAATTTTTTTGGTCTTTAGAAGATTTATGATCCGTGAGAGGGCGACTACGGGTTAGGAAAAATAATTTCTTGTTTTTATCTAGAAGCACTTACATGTTTCTATAAGGGGGAGGGGTAGTAAAAATGTACACTAGCTTTCTTGACTTTACATGTGTTAAATAACAGACTTATTATTTTAATTTTATTTTTGGTTTATTAGTTTAGAAATTATAATAAAAGGAACGCTGGTTTACTAAATACAACCGATTCTTCATCAATATTTCTCAAAAGTTTCATGGCAAATGTCCAAAGAATCAGTGAGAACACTTAAGGTCAAAAATCTATACTTTTCCATTAAAAAGGATACCCTTTTTGAACCTGAAAGTCTTCACTGCATAAATGCATGAAGTGGAAAGTATAAGGACCATTGTCCCAGCCATATACGAAAACCACCCCGTTCGGAGCGAATTCCTAATTACTTTTCTACATATATAAATGTAAGTCACGATGCAGTTTGAGTAAAATTTGTAACCATGTATATCCATAATTGACAATGTTCGAATCCAAACATTCCAATAAAGCATACTTCCACGTATTTTCAATTAGTATGCATTTCCTCCGCTCGTGTAATTAACCATTCTTAGCCTCCTAAGCCCTCCATCTTATACATATTCATACATGATACCGAGACAATAAATTATGTTGCACTCTGCCACTACTGTGACCTTATTAGTTAAACAAATTTTAATTTCATGAAATAATAAAATGATGTAAATCACATTAAATGGTTATGTAATCATAACCTAATTAAAATTTGATACATAATTATGAATATTTGATTATTTACCCCGATAATATTTTAATCAATATCAATTAATAATAATTCCCATTAATTTTCCCATTAATGATGTAAATAATTTTAAACCAACCTATACCATGTTGTCTGAGACCGCAATACAGAAACATATAAAATATGTGTTTATTCATTAAAAAAGGAAGGTGGAGGAAGGGAAGTTGATAAAAATTGTAGAAAAATTTCCAGTGAGTTAATTCTTCGGCGTCCTGAAAGAAAGTGGCGACCCACGCTATCTCTAAAGAGACGCACTTTCAGTCTCCCGCGAAGCGATTCTATTGATTCTATCTTGCGGCATTCACATAACTTACCATATAAGAAGATGCTATTGAAATGAAGCTGGAGTATATCCAAAGAGCGATACTCCAGCATTTAGGAAAGAAATACATTATCAATATGCATAAAGTATCTTAAGGAACCTTAAAATTCTTTTTTTTTTATTTCTAGATATTATAAAAAAAAAAAAAAAAAAAAAAAAAACGTTTTTGTGATTTAGAGGGAAAAATCTGAAAAACTGCCTTACCGTTTGATGAATTTAGACTCGTTGATTCTGAAGGCTGATAATCTGCATTTTCTATAATTTGATAGAAGATAATTTATATTACTCGGAAAGAGTAAATGCGTAGAACATTGAAATAAATTTTGTCAAGACAGTAGTAAAATGAAATTTGAAAATAGGAATTGACTACTTATTCAATAAGAAGTCCACTTGCTTTTTGATTTCTTTGTGTGATCTCTGCAACCGGAAACATGATTGCAATACTCAATTCCACAGTTACAGTTCCCCTCACATTTCCAGCCAAATGATGGAAATGGACAAGGAGTAGAGCAATTTACTCCATAGAATCCATCAGTACAACCTTACAATTACGTTAATAACGAATATGAAGAACATCTGAATACATAAACACTGATTGCATGCAATATTATTTAATATGTAGAGTACATACTGATACAAGCATTCAGCGTATCATTCCACGTATACCCGTAACAACAGATGAGATCTCCTGAAGGTCTGAAAAAATATTTAACTGCTCTGTATACTGGAAAATCACATATTTTCCAATGATTAGATTTTCATCTGTTGAGGAAAAATTAATTGTCCGAGAGGATTTGATCTCGTCGATAAGAAGAAACATTATATTGAAGTGTGAAATTTAAGCAGATTTTGTGTAGGATATTAGTATGAACAACAAAAAAGAAAACCTTCCACGATAATAAGTGATTTCACAATATCCAACAATTATCAGAATAAGTGAAAGTTCAAAAGTAAATACTTTGATTGATTTACCTTCAAACAATTATATGTATGAAAGTTTAGATCATTACATGTATTCTTTATGTAAATTGAATAATTAGGATCATACATGCTATATAAAAAAATATATAACTCACCCTTCACATTGTTCTAAAGTTGATGGAAGCCAAAGAAATGTTGAAATCATTGCTGAAAAAAGTATATGTTCAAGGCAATTGCTGCATTGCAAAATAACCATTTTCTGTTCTTTACAATCTCTATCTAATAATTACAGATGGCCGATTTCATTTTCCATCCCTGGTGCGTAACTTCAAAAGTAAACAAATAATATGATTTAAAATCCTATATAGTAGTTATGTCCTGTTTATGTAACGAATATTTTTAAGGAAATACAATTAAATAAAATGCCTTTTTTAAGTGTTCAGTTCAATTTGTATTGGATTTTTAAAGTTTTTCCTACAGAATTCTACAAATATTTTAGAATACAATGTATATAAATTTTAAATGCTTCATTGTTGGGACTATTTGTTTATTAAGTTGAAATTGAATGTGTAAGTCTTATTTGTGAAATATTACGGTATGATTCATGAAAAGATAATCAAATCATGAACAATTAGGTTTTGAGAACAATGAAATACCTCTTATATTTGAAATATCCACTCTTCTAAAAGGGAAATAAGCTTGTTTTCTCCATTTGGAATAACAGAAAGAATATTGCCAAGTCAGGCAGGATGGTTTTCTATATCGTGTACTTACTTCAAAATAACCTTATAGATACGGAAATTAAATCAGGATAAATGTTTTTTTGTCATCTCGCCCAAGCAAAACTACTAGCTTCGTTTGAATAACAGCAAAGAGATAAACACAACTTGAATTGAAAAAAGGTCATTAATTAACATAATGACGAAACTACTAATGCAGTATAATACTAATTGTAAGAAAAGTTAATAACACTCCATATTAAGCAAAGTCAACTTAATGTACTTTGTAAAACTTTACAATATATACACTCTGAGGAACATCTGACTAGTTCAATGATTATTGCAAAATCAAAGGTGGGGACCAATAAAACAGCCAACACAAAATTAACAAGTTTTCAGGTTTGGGAGGGTGGCGGGTGAAAACATTAATTCGCTAATTTTCTACTACCGTAGTACTTCAGCTTCTGTTTACAAACTTTGTGACCTATTGCACTGCGACCTAGCGGTGGCTTTTTCTTAGACAATTCAAGTCAACGCATTTGTTTAAAAATGAACGGAAAATAATTATTAATATGTTTCATAGGAATAAAAAATTAATTAAATGAAGCCACTTTAAACCTGTCTACTCCAGATTTTGCATATTTCAAAACATTGCCTAATACGACTTAAACTTTTAATCCCTTTAATGTAATAAATTATTTTTAAAAAATCGGATTTTGTCAAATATTACCTATTTGTGTGAAACCAGTGGTCTTCAGTAACACATTTTTTTTATTGTTATATACATGAATACAGTGTATTATCATTATAATTTAATTCCTATCCCAGTTTTGTGATTTCAAGGGTGCACAGGATCCACCCGAGCATAAATCAACATGGTGTTTCGATTCCTTATGTAAGTATGATAGTATTGGGTGCACAGAAAGAGGCCTATGGAATGTCATTTGAATGTATTAGAGTTCAAATAATACAAAAGTATACCATATTTAATGTGCTTGGAATTTTTGACATAAAGCTGCAATATTTGTGTGTAGCAAAATAGGGGTCCTATCACCAATTCCTCTTATTTTTTATTTTGTTTTAATGTCCTCACTGGAGTTGCAGGAATTGGTGGTAAAATTAAAGATATTATTATCATATACTTTTAATCTTGAAAGTAAATCAAACAAAGAATCCTTTGGCACTTGTCAGATATGGTTAGCGATGCAAACTGATGTATTTCTCATAATCTGGGAAAAGTATGAAAAGTTAGTTAAAAGCTTTCTTTGAAGTAGAACTCTTTTATATACATGTAAGTCTGGTATTATAGATTTTAATGAATCACAGGATTCATTTTAACCTACAAGGTTTTGAAAGAACTTTATTCGGTAGTAACCAAAATTTGCCCCCCAAATCAAACTTTGATGGAGATATATTTAATTAAGTTCTTAAACAGGGGAGTATACGCTGAATTCAAAGCACTGAATATTTTCATAAGTAATGACGCCATATGTATGTAATGACGTCACAAACATGACGTAAATTTCGGTTTTTATGAATTTTACAGAAAACTGTACACATTTCGTCGATATTTTGAGAAAAAGTCACCGAGCGCATGTGTGTTCAGGATCAATATTTTGATATAATGTGTAGAATGTTAATATCAATGAAATATGTCAATATTGTTCCTGAACAAAATTGCGCTCTATAAATTTTTAAGCTAAACTTGTTTAAATTTTGTCCAGTTTGTCCTCTTTCTGTAAAAGGATATAAAATCGGACTTGTTTGTGACGTCATAAAAACAAAATTGTGAATACACTGCTTTGACACTATAATATTTTCTGTTAATTTATATTTCTCATACAATTTATTGAATTCGGCACATTTCAGGAAGTTTACAAAATTTGACTTTTATGGGGGCAAATATATGCAAAATACCGCATATAGTTCTTTAACAATCTTTCCATGCACGTGTGTTATTGTAATACAGAAAAATAATGTATAAAAAATAGGCAGCATGCCCTTTGTTTATTTATTGTCAAAATTTAACTTGAAAATACGATAGTTATAATCTTACAACAAAGCTTTTTGAGAAACGTGATGACTCTTCAATTGTCATCTTATTTTACTTATGTAAAAATATACCTTCATCACCTGTAAACAGAGTTTATTTCTCTCCGTTGATTCAATACGTAAGATAATGCTCTACACATGGACAATTTCTTAAAGGAGGTTCATGTAAACTATTGACAAACAAGTTGATGAAACAAGAATATAATTTTGTCAGTTATTTGGTCGATACAACGACTTTGTCAGCAAAAACAATTTATCTTTGAGTCAATTGATGACTGTCATTTTTCATGCTAATTTTAAGTCCATTATACGTAATTAACGACGGGATTTTCCGTTATTACTCGATGATGACACGGTTTAACGTTAATTTTTGACTCAGGTTGAAAATTGACCCGGGGTAATTTTTCAACGTTGCATACTTAGACCAAAGGTATTGAATTTAGACCCCAGTCCGCTGAAAACTAAGCTGGGTCGTGGAATTTTGATCATGAAACCGGTTCTAAATTCAACAGTATAAAAACAAATATTTATGACTTGGTTTCCACAATTGTGATTTAATCCATATGCGTCGGGAACAGGGAGGGAGGGATGCTTAGCTCCCCTCTCCCACTTTAGAAATTTAAAATCACCAATTTTTCCAGAAGTCAGTAACATGAAAACGTACAACTTTTATACAATCTAAACAAGCATTCCTCGCGGCAAATTAAGAACTATACATTTTTACATCATATACAGCTATTTTCTCAATAAAAATGGAACTCGGGAATTTTAGTATCTTGTGATAGGTCATCAACGAAAATCACTTTGTTGAAATCACTCTGATTCTACCTAAAAGTATCCTGAAGTTGATATTAAAGGAAAGCTGGAGTTCCTTATCGACATGGTTTCTGCAGTCTTATGAGACCAAGTTTTCTTTCAAAACTTGCAATTTCTATGTGCTCCTTTTTTGCCCGATTTTAACATTTCTATGAAGCAGAATCAGAATATGTTTTAAATACGTTACATGAAAAGAAGAAAATAAGTGCAGTGGGGTTCAACTCAACATTTAGATGCACTGATGTCGTATGATCAAGTAACAATAGTTACTTTAGTTCATATGTCGACTCGATATATCCTAGTGAACTTAAGTTTAAATTAAGTGTCATGTTTGGAAGTATTACTGACTATGGAAGATGAAGGCAAACAGAAACCATACTGTAAAAAAAGAATGATTTCTTCTTTTTTTTCCAAAATGAACTTTCCGTATTCGTAAAGTAATATTCCACTATCTCCTGTCTGGTATGGCGGGTAAAACGTTGCAATATAATACTATTTTGTAAATCAAATTCAAAATTTTTGGTTTTTCTTTTTCTAAATCATGTCATTCCTATTCCATAAAATGTGATTCCTATTCGATTAGTTTTTATTCTTCTGAGAAAAAAAAATGCTATTTCTATTCGAGAATTCATCACCTTTAAGTTGTTATTTTATTCAAAAATATGATTCCTAATTGTGTCATTTCTCTTCGATTATAAAATGATTTATTTTCGATAATCATGTTAAACATGTCATTCCTATTTAATTAGAATAGATTTATTTTTTTTAGCTAATCATTGTCGTACTTTTACATTTTCAGACCAGTAGACATTACAGATAATCTTTATTTTGTATTAAAATCACAGTATTGGGTAAAGTAGTAATGTCGCACATATGACTGCATGAAATGAAAAAAAGACGCAAAGTTATGGGCACTCGATTTAGACTCATTAATAATGAAACAATTTGATTTGTTTTATATTTTGTCAATTTGTCTTTAGATTTATTAAATTTATATTGCAGACAAAATTCCAAATTAATATAATTTATGTTTATAAATCAGTTGGATTTCAACAATGAATACACTTGCCCACTGTAGTTTGCAAGAAAGACAACATTATCAGTTTTAAAATTCTAGAATTGCTGAAATTATAAAAAGATATTACAAAATTCAAAACTAAAGATTGGTTTATGACAGGTTCACTTTCGTATAAATATATTGAGGAAATATACATGTAGCCAGCATTTCCCGAATATGACTGTAAGGGAAAGATATTGGAATTAAATTGAATGTCCTTTTTCCGTGTCAGTCGTTAGTTCAAACATCTTCCTGATGTTATATTATTGTATACAATCTCATATTTGTACATGTATATATATTAGGAGATATCTCTGAGGTCACTTGATTTGTTTATTTTTGCGGCAGTCATTTGTTTGTCTTTGACTAAAAGTAGACTCACATTTTTCACAAATGTTCCATATATAGCGTGTATATTAGAGATAAAAGTTTAAATAAATTACATCAAAACGTGTAATTGTATGTATTGCGGGATGTAAAAAATGTTTCTGGACTAAAGCTATAAAATTATGAACATTTTTAAATTAAAGTGAGTTGTAAATGTTGTCACAGGTATTTTTTGTTAGGTCTACACTACCTCGAATACGACGTGTTATCTACCTGAGCGTGTTACTTAGATCAATTCTTTTGATTTGAGCATTTTGTCATCTAAAATCACGTTAATTTACTTTTGTGATGTCGCAGAAACTTTCACTAACAGTTGCAATTTTTACCCAGTTCTCTAAGATGTAAGAACATTTATAGCATTTTTATAGCATGCAAAAACAGTTAAGAAAAATATGATGACATCAAAAGGGGAAATAAAGGCGTCTGCATATCTTTTTTTTCGAAAAAAAAACAAAAGAGATTAAACGATAAAACAGATCCACAGTATAAATCGATTTACAGTTAGGAAGTCAAAGGTCAATCATGTTTAAAATATATGTTTAGGTCCAATTATGTAATAAAAATCAGCTCTTCTGGACATTGTCAGATCATATATTCAAAATGGAATCAGGTCGTTATTAAACTTCATGTAATTCGTAAAGATTTGTAAACTGAGGCGGAGGAAGAGAGTATTGAAGCATTTTAAATAATGAGGAGGTCATACATTGTACGTAATAAAAGTAAAAAAAAATGTTGATGGCATAGGTTGATCATATAATTTACAAATACTGACTGGGGTTGAAGGCAATATGTTAGCTTTGTGGCAACGCACTTTGAAAAAAATTACGCACTTTGAAAAAAAAGTGCGTTAAAATTGGGACAAAACGCATTTTGAATTTTTTTTTCAAAGTGCGTTAAATTTGGGACAAACTCAACGCACTTTAAAAAAAAAATTCAAAGTGCATTAAGAGTGTACATAAACATTTCTTACCTTGGGACATATAACGCACTTTGAAAAAAAAATATGCATAAAACAAAAAACCAAAAAATACATAGATTTTAATAATTGAGAGAATCAACTTTTATATCAATTCTATCTTTCGAAAAACATTTTAATTTACATGTATTCATTTAATCTCATTGGGAACAAGGAGAAGGCGAGTAGAAGGTCTCTCAGCCCACTTTTTTTATACAGTGTACATAGTCGTCAGAAGCAAATTGAAAGTGAACACCCCCCTCAAAAGCAAGCCCCGATTCTCAATGCCTCTATATCTTTGCAAAACATTTGAGTTCCTAAGAACCCTACCCCTCCCGGTACCGATGCTTATGCTACACCCAAATATATGTATTTGCATAACTGGTATGACGTTGAAACTTTCAATAAATTATACTTTACATATAAAATGCATGCAAACTGCAAAACTTACGTAAAACATTTCAGAGAGAAATTAAAATCGCTCACCTTCACATCCTGAAGTGACCTCATCACCAAAGAGTTATCAAACAGCTTCAATTATTTATCATACCCAAGATTTGCTTTTACATTGACCAAGTCATACATATTTTTTTCAAAGTGCGTTGATATGGTCGATATTAACGCACTTTGTAAAGAAATTTTAGTTTTTCAAAGTGTGTAATTTTTCAAAGTGCGTTGTAACATAGCTTCAATGGATGAAATATTGTCAGACAGGGAGCGAAGGATGGTTTTTCATCCCAAGGAGGCTTACATAATCTATCCTTCCCAAAACACCTTAAATGATAACTTTGTCATATGAAAATCAGTTTATACGAAACGCATTCTGTTTTGAGCAAACTATCTACATCTTGTATGTAGACCTAGAGTATATATTTTATAATTTTGTAAATGTCAGTCTTCACAAGTGATATTTATAAACTACAGTGATTTTTAGCTTACCTGAGCCAGATGCTTAGTGAACTTTCTGATAAAAAGTATTGGTGGTGTTGATGAAATCCTTAATTGCTTTTACGCCTGTGTCAAAAAACAAACCACTCAAAATTTATCTAAGATACAATTTTAAATAATCCACAGTCCAATCACGAATTATTTTTCAGCTACACCAAATTATGACAGATATTTTTTATTCAAAGTACAGTAAATACACTCATGTTTATAAAATCTAAACTCAATTGAACATCACAAATACAAACTATTTGGTGTTATTCAACTTTCCTTTCTTCTATTTTGAAATTTGAAATCAACTATGATGTATTCTTTATAAACATGTGCATTCTGAAAATTAAAAGGGGGCGGGAGTCTATACGATGAAATAATGGGAATGTACATTTGTTGACTGATGGAATAGGTAAGGAAAAAGGAATGTTCAAAATGGTTGTTTTCTAAATACTTTTTTCTTATTAACAAGTTGAATATCTTTGAAACACTAATCAATAAATAAATTACATGTACGTAAATCTGTTGGTCACATGACAATAAATTGTTTGTGTAGTGAAAACAATATACATCAAATGACCAACCCCATTTACATCCCGCTTAAAGTTTTAAAATGATACCTTATTTCTAAATTAAAAACATTTTACGGCAGATTATGTGGATGAGATAATCGCAAATGGTTTTTCATCATCATATGTAAATAGGACTCTGCGAAGGAACGCTATTTAAGGTTATGCATAATATATATACATTTGTGTAGCTTTCTTCGAGCAAAAATCAACCGGTCTTTGCAATACATCTATAACAGCAATATTTACATATTTTATTTCTGTAATATACACTCTGTAGAAATATTTATTTCTTTGATAGCTGTGAAGAAATTTTTATTTATGCGATTAAAAAGTTGTTCAATCTAATTTTAGATAAAAAATGTTATTTTCTTTTGACAAATGCATCACATTACTACTTTAAAAAATACCTTTGCTGGTTGTCGTCAGAATGGAATAGCTTCTATTTGTTATTGGTTTAATCCAGGTTTCTGGTGGAGTCAATAAACCTGATAATGTATTTAGGGAGGTAAAGCGAGCAGAAGCCGATTCAAGATAAATAAATTCAATCATAAAATGTTTAGTTTCATTCTTGATTTTAAAAAGTCGAAAGAAAAAAAAAATAAATCTGACCTGAAGAAAATTTCAAGAACTCATTTGCTACCTCTAAAAAAATTTTCATGAAACAATAGAAACAAAACATTATTATATTTAGATTAATTTCTGCTCTATGCTTTAGTTTCCCTGAGATACTTAACTAAAATATTACTGAATAACTCAGCATGTACACGGAAACAAATTGTAACACATTAGATATTTGCCTAATGTTCAAAATGTTAGAAACTTGTTTTAGTATTAATGTTACCCATGCATCCTTTAAAGGGATTACAGTGCTGTTCAGTACAGTTGCATTGTAACTGGCATCCTTCTCCATAGCCAGGGTATCGACAGTTGTTCTCACAATAATCACCAAACCTCCCTCGGTCACATCCGTCTGAAAACATAAAATTATCATGTTCTCTAGAATTTAGTTCTTTCATCTTCTAAAATTAGCAATAAATGTATTGAAAACACATGCTTTAGTACTTGAATAATTTCTTTTGCAGCCGTGAGCATGGTGACATTCTTCAACAGAGCAATTACACACGAACTTGCAGTACAGGCCAAAATATGGTGGATGGCATGTAGATCTGCAATCTGTACCATAAAAATCCTTCATGCAAGCTGTCAACAGACATTAAGACATTAACATGCATTAAGTTATGATCCAGTATCTGACATTTCATTCATAAAATGAGAACATTTAGCTATTATAAAGTTACAAACGTATGCATTCACTCAGTGCCTTGTTCCATATAAATTCACTGCAACATCTTGGTCCATTTATCCTGATAAGCAAAATATTCACATGTAAATAGTGACATAAATAGATGTAACCACTGTATAATTTTTTTGGTGATTTGCCTCCTCACAAACAATAAGCGCTATTTAGAAAATATTTTCAATGCATCAAAATAAATTTTCATTTTATATAAATTGCACATGTTAAAGCTTTAAATTTCTTCTTACCCTTGGCACATCCGTGACGTACAAACTAGAAAATAATGAAATAGACAGTATGCAACGAACATCAACGGTGATGGCAGAAAAAGATCCATGCCACCACGTTTGATTTTTTATTATTTCCTTGTCTGATTTATAACTGCTAAAGTGATGTAAAAATTGTCTATGTCTGTACGTGACATGTCAATTAACATGGCATATTTGATCTCTAAAATAAGCTTTAACTGACTATGTTTTTATTGTGAATAATTTATACGGCATGATATTTTTTAAAAGCTTCTTTAGTCTTTAGAGGTGCATCGATACATATTTAAAGACATTGTGTGTGTAATATTATTAGTAATATATTGATACATTATTGTATAACAATATACCAGTAATAAGCTGCAAATACCCAATACTCGGCACTTAATGGCATTGAGCATTGATGGATCTTTTCCGAGCCAATTCCTACTGCGACTTGAGATCTTGGTTTATACTCTCTCATAACAGGACGGTTTTCACGTTTCACATTTGTATCAAACCCGCGATGTAAGGATCAAATCCTTTTTTCCTTTTTAATAGCATTTAGAATTCAAAACGGGGCGGATTCAAAGAAAAAATACAAAATAATTTCTTCAACAAAACTATAACTATAGCGAATTCAAAACGGAACAAAAGTATTTGCAATTGTGAAAGGATGAAATAAACCGTGTTTACAACACTTTAACATAAAGGTATGAGGAATCTGGACGATGACAATCTTCGTAATATTATTTTCAAATAATTTAAAATAAAAGAAAATTGTTTTGTTACTGTGTGAAGTTTCATTTCATTCAATTTAATAGAGATCAATATAATTCATTTTAAAATAAAAATGTTTTGTGACCACGGAGTATACCTAACGGCAATATATGTAACGTCAAAAAGAGCATGAAGCATTTCTCAAAATTATTATGGCTACGAGTATACATGTAGTCCTATACTTATCAAATTAAAATTTTTTTCTCTCTATTGACATTTTATCCAACAATTCATCTAGTTGTATAATTTCTTTTGTTAATAATGTTTTCATTTTTTTAATCACTTACAATGTAATTGATTTTTCACAAGATCAGCAACTGTGATCGAATCGCATTTGACTTTCTACAGTGTAGGACGTTCCAACTTTTAAAACAGCTAAGATTTCTTCACAGATTGTTCTCGTCTGATACAGATTCTTTATTATATAAATACCACATGTACCACATACTTACATATTCACAACTCACTTGTGACATATATTTATTTTGTAATTCGTTACCATTTTTAAAGTTTAAATAGAATTTTTCTCGTGTATTGACGACAACACTTCTCAAATTGGTTTATTTTCAACGAAACAAATAAG